GTGAAAGCATATGGAAATTCCCACACCAGCAGCTAAGCTACAAGTCAGCCCTGCTGGCCCCTGCTGGCCCCTGCTGGCCCCTGCTGGCCCCTGTGGACCAGAGGAGCCTGGAATTAGCTCAGTCCCGGCCTGGGGCTCCCACTTTCCTTGTCTGCTTCCAGCAGGCCCCACCTAGGGGTTCGGGGTTCTCTGGGCTTAGGGGCTTAGCTGCAGCCCGGTCAGGTCCTGCAGATGGACAGTCTGGGGCGTGGCTGCCAGTGGGTCCCTGAGGCCCTGGCACTGGCTCTGACCACAGGAGCAGCAGCTCAGGACCCTTGAGTCCCCCAGTGTGGGCCACGTGGGCGCTGCCCATCCCCACATCCTGCTCTTTGCCTGTCCCTGCCTTGTGGGTACCCAGTCAGGCAGCAGAAGTGGCCCTGCCGACTCCCTCGAGCCTACCATGCGTGTTCAGGCTGCAGTAGAGGCCCCTGGGAGCCCAGCTGACCCTCCCCGTCTACCCACCCTGCCTTCCCTACCCCACCTCTAGCCCCCACTCCGCTTCTCACTTCCTTCCACCCAGGACTCAGGAGGGGGGCTCCGTGCAGGCCTCGCAGGGGGTGCTTGAACCTCCACCCCAAGTTCAAGCATAGGGAGGAACCACCTGACCCAGCAAGAAGGGACGGAGAGGGCCGTGATCCCGCCCACCAGATGGCGGCAGGGGATGCCACTGTCCTCCCCAGCCCTCAGGCTCTCACCTCCCACTCCCCCACCTTGGGCCAGCACACCTTGCAGTGGGGGTGGGGAAGGCCCTGTCCTGAGCTAAGCCAACCCCGGACATCAGCCTTGCTACTCCTCCCCGGGGCCCCTCTCCTGTCCTGCCCGGATCCATCAGAAGTAGGTGGCTCTAGGCCGCCATGCAGGGCAGGTCACATCCCTCGTTCCCTGAAAGGCCCCATGGGGGCTGGTTCTGTAGCCTGACTCCCTGACCTGCACACCTGCTTTGCTAGTCTTGGGCTGTGAGGGTGGCCATTCCCAGCCATCAGGGAGGCAAGGAGGAAGGAAGAAGGGGCGGGGGAATCCCTGCTGCTGGAGCCCCAGTAGGAGGGTATGTGGCTCATCTGCTGGCCGCAGGGAGCGGTGAGCTAGAGCCACAGGAAGCCACAGGGTCTGAGGACACAGTGCTGGGGTCAGCCCATCCCGGCCTCTGTAGCACTCACTGGGTGGACGTTTCAGAGCCCCTGCCAGCAGACGCAGCGCGCATCCCCAAGTCACGAGGCCACAACCAGGGGGTTGGCAGAGCTCGCTCCCTAAGGCCTCATGGTAGCATCTGGCTCATGGCTGCGTTACCCCAACCATATCCCTGGCTGTGTCACTCCAAAGCCAGGAGCTTCTTCTGGGTCCCCAGTACTTGGTCCAACCTCTGTTGCTTTCCCAGGCACATAGGCAGGGAGCTGGACAGGAAGTAGAGCGACCAGGACTCAAACCAGCACTCGCATGGGATGCCAATGCTACAGGCAGTGGATTTACCTGTCATGCCAGCACAACAGCCCCACACATCCGCTACAGAAGGCGAAGTGGGACTTTGGCTGCCATGGCAACAGATACTTCCGTGTTGTCACATGAAGGGTAAACTACAAATCTGAGAGAAAAATTCTGAGTGTGCAAGCAGCCCGTTCTGTGAGTGTGTAGACATGGGTGTGAACATGTGCATGAGCAATGCATCCCCAGTGAGCACCGGTTCAAGTCCCGGCTGCTCCACTTCCCCAGACAGCTCCCTGCTGATGCACCGGGAAAACAGAATCGAGTCTTTGGGCCTCTCGAGGCCTCTGGCTCCTGGCTTTGTACTGGCTCAGCCCAGGCCATGGTAGCCACGGGGAATACAAGATCTCTTTGTCCTTGCCCCCTTTGGAACTCTGCTGGCCGCTACAGCCATTAAAATACTGAGCTCTACAGCTTCAGGGCTGCCAGGCATCGGCAAGAGGGTGGCTCAGCCAGGGTGCCCAGCCTGCAGGTATGGCCAGGGCTGGTGCAGCCACTCTTGATGACGTGGGCTGCTGCCAGCACAGGTCACGGCTGTGACTGCACACGGTCCAGCCCCGCTCTCTGACCAGCTCTACCTCCAGGACTGACAGCCGGGAGCTGCCCCAGCAGTCGGGGAAGCACAATGACGCTGTGCCACCACAGCTGGAGTGAGAGGATCTTGCCCTGCGGCGTGTGCTCCTGGGAGATTACAGACCACACTGGGCAGCAGTCAGCCTGCCACCAGCTCACCGCCTGGCTCAAGGGGCAGACAGTTCGTGAGTGTCTGGGTGCGCCTTGGGGCGCGGGCTGTTTCTGGGGCGTCCTGGGGATCCCTCCTGCCTCGCTTCTCTGCTCAGTAAGGACAGTCTCCACCAGGCCCCCACCTCTCCCTGCCCAGGCTCCTCTGGAGGCAAAACCAACCAGTTAGCTCCTGTTCCTGTCCCGTCACGAGTCAAGTCTGTAGGTCGCTTAGCTCCTTTCTGCAGGAGAGAGAGGGCGCGCGGGGACCAAGTGTGCCCTGTGCCCCCAGAAGTGTGCCCTGTGCCCCCAGAAGTGTGCCCTGTGCCCCCAGAAGTGTGCCCTGTGCCCCCAGAAGTGTGCCCTGTGCCCCCAGAAGCTGGAGTGCACACACCCTCCTCTGCCTCTGCCCCACATAGTCCTGCTCCTGCACACCAGAGAGATAAGTTTTAAAACTATATTTATTTATTTATTTGGAAGCAGAGTCCCAGAGAGAGATCTTACATCTGCTGTTTATTCCCCAAATGTCTGTAACAGCAGGGCCTGGGCCAGGATACAGCCAGGAGCTTCTCCTGGGTCTCCCATGTGCACACAGGGGCCCAAGCACTTGGGCCATCCTCAGCTGCTTGTCCAGCTGCAACAGCAGGGAACTGGATGGGAAGTGGAGCAGCCAGGACTGGAGCTGGATGCTGACACCATAAGTGGAAATTTTATCTACTGTGCCACAGTGCCGACCACCAGATACCATCTAGAGTGGGGCACCAAGGGGTGTGGGCCAGTGCTGCCAGCAAGAGGCATTGGCACCCTCTGGCCACTGTCCCTCCAGCTACTGACAGCCACTAGGCACAGAGCGCCAGGTGTGTCCGAGCCAGTGGTGTTGGTGTGTGCTTCCACGGCCCTAAGGAGCAGAGGTCGTGGCTACGTGCAAAGGGAGGTGCAGGGAGCTATCTGCTGCCTTGGGCTCAGGCGTGCTGCCCGTTGGGGCTGGGCTCTGGCATGCACAGGCGAGGGCATGGCAGTCCCAGCTCCCAGCTGCACCTGGGTGCCCAGGGCCTGCGGCACAGGGGTGTGATCCTGCCCGTGAGGCTATGCCCAGCACACCCCACCTGTCCAGGCCCCAGTGGGAACAAGCATCTAACACAGGGTGAGGTGTGGCCATCCCAGGAAGAAAACATCAGCAGAGCCAAAACTAGGCAGTGGCAGGAGACTCCAAGGACACCTGAGTTCTGGAGTACCGGAGGTTGTCCTGGGCCTCAGCCTCCGGCTACGCCTTTGAAGGCAGGTACTGCCACCACCATCATCACCCCGGCACCTCGGGGGCTTTGCCTCACGCAGGCAAGCCCGCAGAAGCCGGGGACCACAGAGTGCGGTACAGCACAGCTCCTGCTCTCTCCTCCCAGCTCCCACACAGCCGACAGGCTTGCCTGAGCGTGCCCAGCCATGGCCTCTGCCCAGATGCCAATCAAGGCCCTGGGGTGGCCCACACCCCAGCAGCTATGAGAGCACCTCCGGGTCCAGGGCCCCACACACGAGCCAGGCTCAGGCCAGGCCCTCGCCCCATGGCCGCTGGGCTTCCTATCAGTAACCTGCTTGCGGTGAGTCAACGCCAGCCGGCCAGCAGCCACAGTTCAGGACACTGCAACCACGCAGGCTGCTCGATCTGCAGCCAGTGCCATCCCCGACCTCGAACACCTGAGCTGGGGCCCTCAGGGAGGCTGCCCATAGACTGTCTGGAGGGCTTAGAGCCCACTGAGCCGACTTGCCCTGCCAGGGTCTTGTCCTGGGGGCTTCCCAGCCCAGCCCACTCCCAGGGAAGCAGCCTGGATGCTGATCTTTGCCAAGCACATCGGTGCAGGGTCATGGTGCGTGCTTCTGCTGCCCTCTGTCCTGGCTCCTCCCAGACCGCACTCCATCACTGAGCGAGGCTTCCCCGGCCTCCAGTGGCCTTGAGCAGTGTGTCACTGCAAGCCAGTGGCACAACCTTGGTGTGCCCCGCCTCACAGGGCTCAGGCTGTTGCTGTCCAGCCCTTCGGGACCCCGTTTCCAAGGGGCTCGTGGGGAAGTCCTGCCCACCTGGTTCTCAGGCTGCCCCAGGTCCCCTCCCACAACAGGGCCCATTTGCTGATGGAGGCGAAGATTTGGGACAATTATGACGCTGAGAGCACCTACCAGGTATAACACACAGGGCAGGGACCTGTGTCTGCCCCACAGCTGGGTCATGGCAAGCACTCACAGGGGCCAGGAGCCTTCCAGAGCCATGACACTTTAGTTTTTTAACATTTATTTATTTGGAAGGCGGAGTCAGGAAGAAAGAATTTTCCATGCACTGGTTCACTTCAGATGCCACAATGGCCAGCTCTGATCCAGGGTGAAGCCAGGAGCCAGGGGCTTCCTTCAGGTCTCCCATGAGGACGCAGGGGCCCAAGGACTTGGGCCGAGCTCCACTGCTCTCCCAGGCGCATTAGCAGGGAGCTGGATGCGAAGGGGAACAGCCAGAACTCAAATCAGTGCCCACAGGAGATGTGGCATTGCAAATGGTGGTTCAGTACCCTGTGCCACAGTGGCAACCCCCCACAGCCTCAATTTGTAAGCTGATTTAAGGGGCACTGGGGTGCAGGATCAGTGCAGTGGCAGGAGGCAAGGAGTGGACAGGCCTAGGGGCTGGGACAGCTGGGACAGCTCAGGCGGTGGCCCTGGGACCACACCCAACCAAACTGGAGCAGGCAGCGCTGGAGGCAGGAACCAAAGCTGACAAGTCAAGATTGCCCCTGAATATTTTATTTAAATATTAAATTAAAAATTAAAAAAAAAACAACTAATCATTTGGCATACATTTCTCATGTGAACATAAGAAATAATTGTTATGGTAAAAAAAAAAACAACAACAACACAGCAAAACTATGTACATCTCAACCGGAACACGTAGTGTTATTAAATAGACGAACGCATTCCAGCGCCCGAGCAACCTTCCACACGCACCCACGCGTTCAGAACAGCGGGAGGGACAGAGACCACCGGAAGATAAAGTGCTGGTCAGGGCTGGAGCGGCCGGGGCTGACCCCACTCCCTCCCCGAGCACGGAGGCCGAGGGTGGCCGCAGCGCCCCCACCCCACTCCATGATGCTGGCCAGGCACTGGGGGGCAGCTTTGGCGTTTTCTCAGCAGGCAGCAGCTTGCTCCTCACCTCTGCAGAGGCGGCCAGGGATGGCAGGGGCACTGGTGTGCCGGCAAGTGGCGTCAGCCATCTGCCCCACGGTCTGTCTTTGGCGTTAGGGAGCGGCCACCTTAATCCCTCCCCCAACAGCCCAACACCCACCACTGCAGCTGTGGAGGGCCAGGTACCAGGGAGGGACAAGCTTCTAGAAGCTTCTGACCCGTGGCCTGAGTGTACCTCTCAGGCGTCCTCACCACATGGCAGGCCCAGGTGGGGCAGGTGGGTGCATGGCCAGGAAGGAGGGCCCTAAGAGTGCAGAAAAGATAAAACCATGCCATGTCTCTGTCCCTGAGACACAGACAGACAGACAGACAGACACACACACACACACACGGCTGCTCCAGAAAGAAATCAAGACGCCCGTACAAACTGGAACCCCTAGACCCCTTGCTTGTTTCCCTCCAGCCAAGACCACAGCCCCTGGCCCCCACTGCCCGCCCACCCCGGCCCTGAATTTTATTGCACAGTTACCCCGAGGCAGGTGCTCTCGCGAACCTGGTCACGAAGCGCGTCAGCACTTTAGTAGCAGCGGAAGAGCCGGCTCCGGAATCCTGGGGCAATTGCCCCTTCCGGGCCTGGACTCCTGGGACACTGGCAGTCAAGCCCTCGTGTCCGGCGGGTGGCACCCCCGGGTGAGCCCACCCAAGGCTGTTCACAGCTCATAGGAGAGCACAGACGGCAGTCACCACCACATGTGTGCACACACACACGGCCTCTGGATGCTCGGCCGAGGCCCCGCTCCACCGCCGGGCGCTGCCAGCATCTTCCCTCCACCCGCTCCCCACCCGTCCACCCGGCTCACCACACGCCCTTCCACTATTATTTTTCTAAACTAAGTTTCTAGTCCCTACTCATAGTTGAGGTCACTCAGTGCAAGAAAAAAAACAAAACAAAACAAAAACAAAAGCCAATACAGCTAAATGTATTGCTTGGTTTGCTTCTAGAGTTCTTGGTGGTTGAGTCCGAAGCCTTGTTCACATCCTCTGAAATTATTGCTTGGGAGAGCCGGTGAGCTGCGGAGGCGGCCGTCTTCATTGTACCAGCACGAACGTGCCCAGCTGGCTGGAGGACACGTCCTGCATCTCGCAGTCCCCGGGGGGCAGCCCCACAGGCTCACAGGGGGCGGCCAGCCTGCTGAGGACTGCCGGGCTGGGGCTGATGTGCAGCTGCGTGTCCAGGAGCCGTGCGGCCGACGCCACGGGAGACAGGGCGGGCAGCAGCGGGATCCCAGGCACCAGGAGGCTGTCGGTGGAGGGAAGCAGGCAGGGGGCCGTGGCCAGCTGTGGGGCCTGCGGGCAGCCGGGTGGGGTGGCCGGGCGGTGTTGTAACTGGAGCAGCCTGCAGAGGCACAGGGAGGGGAGCCCATCATCCCGGCTCTGCTCAGGGCCTCCCAGTGACACAGAGGAGGGGACGCCCAAGGCCGTTTGGGGTTGGGCTGGCATGTGCCACCCCCGCCACAGGACAGGGCAGAGGGAGCGGGGGCATACCTCTGCTGCAGCAGCACGTCCTCCAGCATGCTCCTGCCCTCCCGGCTGCCAGAGGACCCGCCCTGCAGGCCGGGGCTCTGGGTGGGGGTGCGCCCGGTGGACGCCTGGCACACCTGGCGTGCCAGCCCCTTGATCTTGTTTAGCCCCAGGAAGCCCTTGGTCCTGGCACTCCTCCGCAGCTGCTGCCGGAAGGCCTTCAGCCCTGTGGGACAGAGGCAGGCCTGTGAGGGGCTTCCGGCCACGTAGGCACAGGGCACTGCCCTGGGGCTGGGGGATGTGAGGGTCTCACCTTGGGTTAGGGATGTGTCGGACGCCCGGCGGCCCTCCTGGAAGCTGAGTGGGAACAGCACGGCTCCACCCAGTGCTCCCTGGGCCTGCAGCACTGGGGTGGCTGACTGAGCCCCCAACAACGACGCGTTCAGTCTGAGAGGGCAGTAGGTGGTCAGCAGTCCCTGGGGGGCCAAGCCGTTGCCCAGTACCACGGGGCCGGGGCTCAGGGAGCTCAGGCAGCTGTCAGAGCTGGTGCCTTCAGAGGGGCTGGCCGCCACCGCTGCTGCCGAAACCACTATGCCTGGGGAGGGGACAGGTGCCTGAGCGGCCCACGTTCCCAGGGCCTCCGCAGCTCTGCCCTCAGCTAGGGGTGGGTGGGCATCTACCAGTGGGCCAGAACCCTCCCAGCACGTCACACGGGCAGGCTATGGGTGACCCTGGGGCCAAGGACCTGCCCTCCCAGTGCCTGGCACAGCCCAGGGTGGGCCCCAGTAGAGGCCAAGCCCCCACTGTCTCCACCAGGTGATCGAGTGGGAGTAGAGGCGGCGTGTTCACCCGAGTGGCCAGGCGTGGGGGACCCTCAGGCCACACCTCAGTCACCCCGGGTCATTCCCAGCACCCCCCAGCAGCTCAGCAGGCGGGACCCTCAGCCCACACCTCTGACACTCACCTGGGGGAGAGAGCGGGGAGAAGCGGGCGGACACCTCAGCCAGTGTATGCCTCCGGCCGGTGCTGCCAGCCAGAGCCTGCGGGACCTCGAGTTCCTCCTCCGGGCTAGGTGCCTGCCTGGCCTCCTCGCCCACAGTGCAGTCCAGCAGTGGGCCAGGGGACACGGGGCGGGGCTGGAGTATGCCGTGGCAGCTGGCATCTCCCGGGAAGAGCAGTGGCTGCAGGGAGGGCCACAGACCAATGACTTCCTGTACCCCGAGGCCCCGCTACGGGGCACAGGGTACCGCTGCAGCACCTGCAGGGCCTCCCACCCTGTCCCGAGCCCAGCCCGGGACACCCACGAACCTGCAGACACTTGTGGAGGTCACAGTCCACCTCCGCCTGCAGGACAGACTGTGCCAGGGCCTGAGGCTGCGGGCACAGGAGGGAGGACGGGAACGGGCTGGCAGCAAGGCCTTCCGGCGGGGCCTAGGGCCGGCAGAAGCAGAAAGCCGCCATTAGGATGGGGACCCTGGTCCAGGTCAGGCCGGGGCTCAGGATACCACCTACTCCACATGTGCGTGAGCAACACCAGAGGAGGCCTAAGGGCCCCAGATGTGAGGGCCAGGCAGAGTGAACCCCCCAACCCACCCCCACCAGGGTCTGACACCCACAAGGGGCCCAACCAACGGCCTGGGGCTCAGCCAGAGTCTCCATCCCAGGTAAGGGACCCTGAACACCAAGGACATAGCCCTCACCTCGAAGCCGTGGAGGTCGGGGTTGCCGGGTCCGTGGGGCCGGCAGGGCCCGGGGCGGGCTGGCGGGCAGCCGAGGCCCCGGAGCCGCTCGCAGAGGAGGTAGTATATGGCCGCAAAGTGGTTGTAGCTGCGGTTCTGCAGAGACTGTGGGGAGAGGGTGGGGTCAGGTGTGGCCCCCAACGCGGCAGGCAGCAGGTGCACACCGGCACGGAGCGGGCAGCTGCCCGCGGGCCCAAGGGCCGCTCACCTCCAAGGTCCTCTGCCGGTCGATGCCCAGGTTCCGCATGACGCCCAGGACCTGCTCGTCATAGTCGCCCAGGCTGGAGTCGTAGCTGCACAGGGTGCGGGCGGCGTGGGCCTCCCGGAGCAGGGCAGGGTCGGCTTGCACCCAGCGGTGCTGCCAGATCTGGGCGATGGTGATACGCTTGGCCGGGTCCACCACCAGCATGCGGCGCAGCAGAGATTCACAGTCTGGGGGACGGAGTGGGCAAGCTGGGTCAAGGTGTTCCTGGCCTGTGCCCGTGACCCTCACATATGGGGGCTGGCACAGAAGGGATGCTCTAGGAGGCTGAGGCCAAGAGCTGTGGCCTCCGCAGGCGGCCTTCAGAGAGGACACACGCCAGTGTCCTCAGGGAGTGAAGCCGGGGAAGCTGGGGCACACGGCTGGGCAGAGATCAGACACCTGTGGGGCAGGCACGGGCTGTCCCGTAAGTAGGGCACAGGGGGGCACCTGCGGGGTTGGGTTTCTCTCACAGCCACGGGTCACCTGGGCCTGCTCCCCAGAGGCCAGGCAGGGAGGCAGGCAGGCATTCTGGGGGCCTGGGAGCCCCACATCCCTCCCCGGCCTCCCCAGCCCTCCTCTGCCCACCTCCCATGCCCTGTGTGGCATGCGTGCACCCACCTTGAGACATGAAGAAGGGGATACGGAAGCGGCCCTCCAGCACCCGCTGCCTGAGGCTTGGCAGGGTGGGCCCGTCGAAAGGCAGCGAGCCACAGACCAGGACGTACAGCACCACACCGAGGCTCTGCGGGCATGGGCAGCCTGGTCAGCGTGTATACGCACACACGCACACCCCGGGAAGCAGGTGACAGGGTTTGGGCTCACTGGTCAGCACACACACATGTGTGCTCCTGGGGTTGTGGCCTCGGGTCCCAGGGTCACTGTGACTGGCCAGACCAGGTCAGTACTCCTACACACACACACACACACACACACACACACACACACACACACACACACACGTGTGCTCCTGGGGTTGTGGCCTCGGGTCCCAGGGTCACTGTGACTGGCCAGACCAGGTCAGTACTCCTACACACACACACACACACACACACACACACACACAGGGGTTGTGGCCTCAGGTCCCAGGGTCACTGTGACTGGCCAGACCAGGTCGGCACTCCTACACACACACACACACACACACACACACACACACACACACACACACACGTGCTCCTGGGGTTGTGGCCTCGGGTCCCAGGGTCACTGTGACTGGCCAGACCAGGTCAGTACTCCTACACACACACACACACACACACACACACACACACACACACACACGTGCTCCTGGGGTTGTGGCCTCGGGTCCCAGGGTCACTGTGACTGGCCAGACCAGGTCAGTACTCCTACACACACACACACACACACACACACACACACACACGTGCTCCTGGGGTTGTGGCCTCGGGTCCCAGGGTCACTGTGACTGGCCAGACCAGGTCAGTACTCCTACACACACACACACACACACACACACACACACACACAGGGGTTGTGGCCTCAGGTCCCAGGGTCACTGTGACTGGCCAGACCAGGTCGGCACTCCTACACACACACACACACACACACACACACACACACACACACACACACACGCGCTCCTGGGGTTGTGGCCTCGGGTCCCAGGGTCACTGTGACTGGCCAGACCAGGTCAGTACTCCTACACACACACACACACACACACACACACACACACACACACACACACGTGCTCCTGGGGTTGTGGCCTCGGGTCCCAGGGTCACTGTGACTGGCCAGACCAGGTCAGTACTCCTACACACACACACACACACACACACACACACACACACGTGCTCCTGGGGTTGTGGCCTCGGGTCCCAGGGTCACTGTGACTGGCCAGACCAGGTCAGTACTCCTACACACACACACACACACACACACACACACACACACACACACACACACACACACGTGCTCCTGGGGTTGTGGCCTCGGGTCCCAGGGTCACTGTGACTGGCCAGACCAGGTCAGTACTCCTACACACACACACACACACACACACACACACACACACACACACACGTGCTCCTGGGGTTGTGGCCTCGGGTCCCAGGGTCCCAGGGTCTGGGCACATGGGCTCCTACCCAGATGTCCAGCTGAGGCCCTTCGTACTCCTTCCCCTCGAAGACTTCTGGGGCAGCGTATGGGGGGCTCCCACACCACGTGGACAAGGGCTCCCCAGGGTTGTAGAAGTTTCCAAACCCAAAATCTGAGAGACAGAGATGCAGGCAGGTGAAGTCAAGGCAGCCAGGGAGGGGGTCAGGACCACCTCGCCCGGGCGGCCCCCTCGCCTGCCAGCCTCAAGTCCATCTCTCGCCGGCTCCCCACCCCCAGACGGCCCCCTCGCCCACCAGCCCCCTGCCCCCTGTGCCTGCCAGCTGGATGTCCATCTCCCGCCGGCCCCCCGTGCCAAGGTGGCTCCCTTGCCTGCCAGCTTGACATCCATGTCGGCGTCCAGCAGCAGGTTCTCGGTCTTGAGGTCCCGGTGGACGATGCGGTGGCTGTGGCAGTACTCCACGGCCGACAGGATCTGACAGAACTTCCTCCGAGCTTCCTTCTCGCTCAGGTGTCCATGGGCAGTCAGGTAGTCTGCGGATGACACCGTACCATGGATGCCCCCACGTGCAGCATCTGGCCACCCATCCCCCTCTGGGCACATCCTGCACGCTGGGCACGGCGACACTGGCACTGGCACGCTTACCGAACATCTCCCCATTCTTCGCGAATTCGGTGACAATGTAGAGCATGTCCTTTGTTTCCATGACCTGAAAAGCCAACACCGTGTGAGGCACACATGGCCCCCAGCCAGCGCCACGGCACACACGGCCCCCAGCCAGCACCATGGCACACATGGCCCCCACCCAGCACCATGGCACACACGGCCCCCAGCCAGCACCATGGCACACATGGCCCCCACCCAGCACCATGGCACACACGGCCCCCAGCCAGCATCACGGCACACACGGCCCCCAGCCAGCGTCACGGCACACACGGCCCCCACCCAGCGCCACGGCACACACGGCCCCCACCCAGCGCCACGGCACACACGGCCCCCAGCCAGCGCCACGGCACACACAGGCCCCCAGCCAGCACCATGGCACACACAGGCCCCCAGCCAGCGTCACGGCACACACAGGCCCAGCCAGCGTCACGGCACACACGGCCCCCACCCAGCACCATGGCACACACGGCCCCCACCCAGCATCATGGCACACACAGGCCCAGCCAGCGTCACGGCACACACGGGCCCTCAGCCAGCGCCATGGCACACACGGCCCTCAGCCAGCGTCATGGCACACACGGCCCCCTTCCCCTGGCCAGCCTTCAACTACAAGACCCTTGCGCCCAGTCGTGTTAATGACGTAGGATGGAGGGGTTTCTGCCTCAGAGCTTTGTGAAGCCCCAGTGGGAAGGGGCTCCCTCGGAATCTGCTGGCGCCTGTCACACCCTGTCAGAGGGCACCTGCTGGCATCCAGGCCACAGGGAGTAGCAGGCGACAACAGCCCCCAGTCCCACATTGATCAAGCAGAGACCTCAAGGAGAACCTAGTGAGGCTGGAACGCGGAGGGAAGGCGGAGCCGAGCTGTTGCGTGGGGAGGCTCGGGAGACAGAGCTCCAACACGTTCTTACGGGGAGATTTCTCGGGTGTCCTGAGAGAACCCGAGGCCAAGGGTTTTAATATCTCCCTGTCATAAAAGCGCTCTGCAAGTTCCCACAGCTCAGGGGAAACGGGAAGTCTCCCATGAGCAGTGGGAGGACCGAGGCCAGCACTGCTGTCCACTCCCCTCACGGGAATGAGGAGCAGGAATTCCGAGTCCCGACACCTCAGCTCTCAAAAACCCACAGCAGGTAACGGGGCATCCCAGGACGGCCCTGGTGCCCATGCTGCTCGGGCAGACAGACACAAGGCCAGGGCCAGGGCCAGTGCTGAGACTGTCCAGCTCCGCCAAGAACCCAGGCCTGGCTCAATGGGACAACCACACACGCTGTGTGGGTGAGGAAGAAGGGCAGACAGGAAGTTACGGCAGGCGGGGTCCCACCCCCAAAAACCAATGACAGAAACAGCTCGGGGGCTTGGGAGAAAACAGGTGACACGGATCCAAAATGGGGACACCTGTGGCCACTGAGGGACCCGTACAAGCTGGGGGACTTGCCACGGGGGCTGCTGAAAATGCTGTTGCAACAGACTTTCTCTATCAGGCCATGCTACCCTGTGGCCTGGCAGCCACGCACCCACACACACGTGCACATACCACCTTGGGGCCACCCAACACAGCGGGGCACCCACACACACGTGCACATACCACCTTGGGGCCACCCAACACAGCGGGGCACCCACACACACCACCTTGGGGCCACCCAACACAGCGGGGCACCCCCACACGTGCACACACCACCTTGGGGCCACCCAACACAGCGGGGCACCCACACACACGTGCACACACCACCTCAGGGCCACCCAACACAGCGGGGCACCCCCACACGTGCACACACCACCTCAGGGTCACCCAACACAGCGGGGCACCCACACACACGTGCACACACCACCTTGGGGCCACCCAACACAGCGGGGCACCCACACACATGCACACACCACTTCGGGGCCACGCAGCGGGGCACCCCCATACGTGCACACACCACCTCAGGGTCACCCAACGCAGCAGGGCACCCCCACATGTGCACACACCATCTCGGGGCCACCCAATGCAGCGGAGCACCCACACACGTGCACACACCACCTCGGGGCCACTCAACACAGCGGGGCACCCACACACATGCACACACCATCTCGGGGCCACCCAACGCAGCGGGGCACCCACACACGTGCACATACCATCTCAGGGTCACCCAACACAGCGGGGCACCCACACACATGCACATACCATCTCAGGGTCACCCAATGCAGCGGGGCACCCCCACACATGCACACACCATCTCGGGGCCACTCAACGCAGCGGGGCACCCCCACACATGCACACACCACCTCGGGGCCACCCAACGCAGCGGGGCACCCCCACATGTGCACACACCATCTCAGGGTCACCCAACACAGCGGGGCACCCACACACGTGCACACACCACCTCGGGGCCACCCAACGCAGTGGGCCCCAATAATGGAGCGTGTCTTCCCACAGGCCAAATGTCTCAACAAGGGGTCATTCACCCCCGGGCAGGTGGGGGGATCGCTTCACCATCCTATTTAAGAGCACTCTAACTCCCTAAGGTAAAGTTATTCACACCCACAGATCCCAGCAACAACGCCAAGCCGCACAGAGCCGTCAGGGAGACTGCTCCCTGCTGGGACGGTGGCCTGGCGGGGGAGGACAGAGCAGCCGGCCACTGTGGGGGTCTAGCTCCCGTCTGTAGGGACAGAAGCTGCTGCTTTCAAACACGTCCCGAACCTGGCCCCGCGTCTGTGGCAGCACGAGGCCGCTTGGCCGTTCTCCCTCCCAGCAAGGCCAGGCCGGTGCCAGCTGTGTGTGGGACCCTGCACCCCTGAGCTCTCCGGCGGGGCCTGCAGAGCCCCCCAGGGCAGAGCCCCCCAGGGCGGCGGGGCCTGCAGAGCCCCCCAGGGCAGAGCCCCCCAGGGCGCCGGCCGCCAGCCTCACCTGGTACAGCTTGATGATGTGCGGGTGGTTCAGGAGTTTCATGAGCTCAACTTCACGATAGATTTTCTCCAGGTTGCCAGAATCCAACCGGGTCTTATCAATGATCTTTATGGCGACCTTTAGGTTTGAAAAGGACAAAGGGAACTTGGCTTAAAAATAAATAAAAAAGGAACCACCTCCAGGCGCCCAAGCTGCACGTCTGGTTAATTTCTCAAGCACTTGGCGTCTTAAGTGGGTGTGTTTTGGTGGGGTGGGGTGACAGGTGACAGGGGAAGCGGGCTCTACCACACTAGCAACAAGGACAGCCCAGCCGGGACTGGGGCACCTGGGCCGGCGGGCGGCACCCCAGGTTTGTTCTGGGCTCTTTCTTCCCCCAACACCCCAATCTGGCAGGGGCGTAACCTGGCGCGCTTCTATTTACCCAACACCGTGAGCCTGTCCCGGCTATGACAAACCACCCTGCGGGCACCAGGTCAGCCTAACCCGGCCGTCCCACCCCCAGCACCTCCCACCCGCCGGCTGCGCCCCGGGGCGCCCACGCACCTGCGTCTTGGTGACCCGGTGCCGCGCCAGCTTCACCACGGCGAAGTTGCCTTTGCCCAGGGTCCGCTCCACGTCGTAGAAGCCCACGCGGAGGGGCTTCTGCGGGCCCGCGGGGGCCGCGCTCAGCTCGGACAGGATCACCATGGCTCCGCGCCGCACCTGCCGGCCGGCGAGGGCGCGCTCAGCGCGGGAGAGGCGCCCGGTCCCACGCCCACCGCACGGCGGCTGCACCGGGACCCCGCTCCCACGCCCACCCCACGGCGGCTGCACCGGGACCCCGCTCCCCACACCCGCCGTCCGCGCTCGGGATCGCGCCCACCCCGGCCGGGACCCCCGCTCCCTCCCCGCGTCCGGCCTCGGCGCCGTTTCCACCCGGACGCCCGCCAGCAGACCCCCCCACAACAAAGGGGGACCCCGAGCGGCCGTCCGGGCTGCGTCCGCGACCTCCCCCCGGCGCCCGCCCGCCCGCCCGCCCGCCGAGCCGCGGGGAGGGCTGGGGGCCCCGAGCGCCCGCAGGCCGCGCCGCCGCCTCACCTCGGGCCGCCCGGCCGTCCCCGCCGCCCCGGCCCGCCGCCCCGGCCGCCGCTGAGCTGGCCGCCGCTGAGCTGGCCGCCGCGCCGCATGTCAGCCCGGCCGCCCCGCACGCGGCGCCGGCCCCGCCCCGCCGCAGGCCCCGCCCCGGCCCCGCCCCCGCCGGCCGGCCGGCCCATTGACGTCGCTTTGACGCCAGAGCGACGCGCGGCCGAGCGCGGCCCGGGCGGGGGGCGCGCGGAGATCGGGCGGTTGCCAGGAGACGGGCGGCTCTGACGCGCGCGCCGCGGAGGCCGTCGCCTTGGCGACGGTGGGCGGTGACGTCAGGGCGCCGGGCGCCTGCGCTCCCGTGGCGGCGCGCCCCCTAGCGGGAGTGGAGGAGCGCTGCGGGCCGTCGGCACCTCAGACGGTCGCGGGGTCGCGGGGTCGCGGGGTCCGCTCTCCGACCCCGGGACGTTGCCTGTCCCCGTGCCGCCCCAGCAGCTAGGAGCCTGGCCTTTCTGTTGCCCCTCAGGTTACCGGCCTTGAATCCGCTCCCGGGGCGGGGTCGTGCAGAGTGGCCCGGGGGTGTCAGGGTGAGGGGCGCTGCGCCCCGAAGTCCACTGCTCCAGTACCCCGGAGGAAAGCCGCTCAGCCCGGAGTCCGCTTTTATTCCAGCGAACCCAGAGAGTTCCTTACCAAGTTAGAGGCCTGGTGGCCCAGGGTTCCCCCCACCGCGCCTCCCCCTGCCCCAGCTGGTATCTCAGCAGCGGAGGGGTCCACCCCCCGAGGACCAGCCCGGCTGGGGCGCCCACTGCCCTGGCCACTCCCAGCAGGAACGCGGCAGTGGGCGGGCGGCGGGGCGTGTCCCTCAGAGGGGGCGCAGAGGAGCCGGGGCGCCAGAGGGGCAAGGGGGCCTGGGTGGGCGGCATGGCTCAGGGCCGGAGGTCACCGTGTGGGACCTCAGCATGGGTGAAGCCTGGCACTGTTTTAGGCCCCTGCCTAGAAAGGGGGAGGGGGCCAGCCTGCAGCCCCTGTCCCGGCTGGGGACCCCGACTCTGGTTCCCACGCTCGGGGGATGGGGCTGTGTGCCCTGGAGGGCGTTCAAGGCACTGGCGCTTGCTGAGTGACCCCTGCCTGCCGCGGGATTGATACTGTGCGAGTTGGGGGAGGGGTGGTCTCTGGGGGGCAGGCTTCATCCCCTCCAGATGGTGGCTTGCACCTGTATGACCCCGAGTTTTGGGGTGCACACTGGGGCCTCCTCCATGTCCCAGACTTCTCTTTTCCCCTGGCACTGGAAGCCTCTCCTCTCCTCTTCGCTGCTCCCAGAGCCCACCGAAGTCCCGAAGGCATGGAGCCCGGTCCACACAGAGCTGTCCCCTCTCCCTGTGACACTCACGGACCACATTGTGCTGTGCGGGGACTGATTCCACGGAGGGCAGGCGGGTGCCGGCCTGGCAGCACGGTGGCAGGCCTGGCCGGGAGACAGCCCCTGGGCGCCATGGCCTCCCTGTGTGGCCAGGACCAGCGGAGGCACCGCCCGGGCCCTGCCCCTGTGTCCTGGTGCTGTGTCTCACCAAGGCTGCAGCCACAGCCATGTCAGGGCTCAGCCTGGGTGCCCAGCAGCGTCCTCCCTGGGGCCGGTGGCTGCTTCAGCCTGCTTGGCGCCCCTGGCTGTGGGGGTCACGACGCAGGCGGTGGTAGACACCCAGTCCTCTGGGAGAGCACCACAGTACACCAGCAGCACACTTCCTGGGGCCACGTGTCTGCAGAACCTGTGCTGGGCGCAGTGACCAGGCAGGTGATGGCAGACGCTGCCCAGACAGTCCCTGGGAGCTAATATGACACGGTGTGAGCTCAGTTTGCACAAAGGCCTGGCTATGGCAGACACGTGCTCCGCCTCCTGTGTGGCTGTGGTCAGTAAGGTGCTTATGGACAATGACAGTCCAGAGGAATCAAGAGGAGGGGCCGCAGTGCCGTGAGACAGGTACAGTTGTCAGCCGTGACACTGGCCTCCCAGCTGAACACAGGTTCAGGTCCAGGCCGCTCCACTTCCCATCCAGCTCCCTGCTGACGTACCTGGGAAAGCAACAGAAGACGGCCCAAGTGCCTGGCCCTGCACCCACGTGGGAGACCCGGCGGAAGCTCCAGGCTCCTGGCTTCAGCCTGACCCAGGCCTCGTGGTTGTGAGTCATCTAAGGGGTGCAGCACATGGAAAAATCTTTCTCAGAACTCAGGACGATCAGCGGCCTGGAGGAGTGGGCAGCGGCCTGGAGGAGGGGGCAGCGGCCTGGGGGAGTGGGCAGAGGCCTGGAGGAGTGGGCAGCGGCCTGGAGGAGGGGGCAGCGGCCTGGGGGAGTGGGCAGCGGCCCGGAGGAGTGGGCAGCAGCCCGGAGGAGGGGGCAGCGGCCCGGAGGAGGGGGCAGCGGCCCGGGGGAGTGGGCAGAGGCCTGGAGGAGTGGGCAGCGGCCTGGAGGAGGGGGCAGCGGCCTGGGGGAGTGGGCAGCGGCCTGGGGGAGTGGGCAGTGGCCTGGAGGAGGGGGCAGCGGCCTGGGGGAGGGGGCAGCGGCCTGGGGGAGTGGGCAGCGGCCTGGAGGAGGGGGCAGCGGCCTGGGGGAGTGGGCAGCGGCCTGGGGGAGTGGGCAGCTGCCTGGGGGAGGGGGCAGCGGCCTGGGGGAGGGGGCAGCGGCCTGGGGGAGTGGGCAGCGGCCTGGGGGAGTGGGCAGCTGCCTGGGGGAGGGGGCAGCGGCCTGGGGGAGTGGGCAGCGGCCTGGGGGAGGGGGCAGCGGCCTGGGGGAGGGGGATGACCTTCGAGCAGCACTGCCTCCTGTGCAGACTCCAGGCTGAGGTGACCGGGACAAGATCAGACGGGGAGGGCTGGCCCGGGAAGACGTTCAGCCTGATCAAATAGCCACTTGCAATTTGCTGCCCAGACATTCACGTGATTGCCTGCCAGGTGCCGAGTGGGCAGGCTTTTCCTTCGCGTGGGGGTGTGAGCACAAGCAGGTGGAAGGTCCTGATGGCTTGGGGGTGACACAGGCTCCCCGAGTTGATGAGGGTCCTTTCTAATCCCCCCTGTGGTTGCTGAATCCTGGCACGGTGCCAAATCCAGCTCTTCTGTGGCCCTTCCAACACGGTGCCTGTGTCAGGGTCACTGTATCCATTGGCTGCAAAGGTGAGCAATGGGTGAACTCATGGAGTGGCTGTGGCAGCACCTGAGAATCGTGCCAGGCTGGACCGCTCTCGCTGTGACGGGTGTGGGGTGGCACTGGGCCCTGTTGGCATTCAAGTATCTCTGCACAAAAAACCCGCTGTGCCATGCCCGCTGCTGTGCCATGCCCGCTGCCCGGCACAGACCAAGGCAGGTGAAGCCCCCACTGTGCCATGCCCACTGCCCGGCACAGACCAAGGCAGGTGAAGCCCCCGCTGTGCCATGCCCGCTGCTGTGCCATGCCTGCTGCCCGGCACAGACCAAGGCAGGTGAAGCCCCACTGTGCCATGCCCGCTGCCCAGCACAGACCAAGGCAGGTGAAGCCCCACTGTGCCATGCCCGCTGCCCAGCACAGACCAAGGCAGGTGAAGCCCCGCTGCGCCATGCCCACTGCTGTGCCATGCCCATTGCCTGGCACATACCAAGGCGGGTGAAGCCCCGCTGTGCCATGCCCACTGCTGTGCCATGCCCACTGCCCAATGCAGACCAAGGCGGGTGAAGCCCCTGCTGTGCCATGCCCGCTGCCCAGGGCAGGCCAAGGCGGGTGAAACAACTGTGCACGTGGGGCAGGAAGGGTTCAGGGCAGCCTTTGCTTCTGTCATACTGCACCAATTTCAATGTGTGACTTGTTTGTTCTGGAATTTTCCATTGGATGTCATGGACCAAGGTTGAATGTGGGTAGCTGAACCTGTGTGGGGGTTGGGGGTTGGGGGAGGCTGGGTCGTGACTGACAGGAGAGCATCTCCTGTGGAAAGTTCAGAAGCAGACGGTGCCAGCCACACTGTTGGTGGTTTTGGACCCTCCCATGCAGGATCACAATGCTTGGAGACACATAGTGATACCCAGAGCAAGGTCAAGTCGGCCCCTCGCCTCTGTGCCCAGGGGGCTTGGGCTGATAACCAACCCTCTTCCCTGCCACTCTTACCAAGGTCTCTCAGGCTTGGGACACAAGTCTTAGGACTCCTGGAGCATGGCGGGGGGAGGGGGGGAGCACGCGAGGAAGGCCGCACCTCCCCTCTCTCCTTCTGACCCACTTTCCGTGGCTTGGAGCAGAAACAGGTCGATGGACAAGGAAGCAAGGAATTCATCGAGCTCCACTTGTAAAAGTCACCCGTGTGCTCGCCCCACTCCGGATGCTCCATGCAGACACGTCCCAGGAGGCGTGCGCGGGCAGCAGGTGTGTCTGGGGGGTGGAAGTGCCCTCAGCTCAGGAGACACGCCTGTGTACAACAAAGCCCCTGAGGACCCAGCTTCATCCACCAGAAGGACCTGGGGCAGCGTCCTTCCCACCAAGGGGAAGCTTTCAGAAGCTCCTTGTGGATCAGCCCCACACCAGAGCCCCAGGGCCAGGGCTGGTGGGGTTGTGGCCCTCAGCTCCCAGGGCCCCGCTGCTGGTGCCACGAGCAGCTGCCCCCGGAGGGTGACCACCCTCAGTGTCTCCATGCAGCACAGTGAGGCACTGTAGGCTGAC